GCAGGTATCTGGGGTTTGTTTAGCTTCTATAATTGCAACTTTGTTGCTTACAGTGGAGCTCAGAGCCGGGCCGCCGCAGGCGGGGAAGCTTGGCTTCCTCCATCACTGGAGCAAGCAAGCCTCCTGCTCGCTTCAGCTGCGTGGCTGCCGGCCGCCATCTTGGTTGGGTTAATTTGCATATCCTGCTGATTAGCCAATGGGAAGCGTAGCAGAGGTATAGTCAATTACCATGTTTGTCTATTATTAGATTAGATTAGTCATGCTCTGTTAACTGGATTAAAGAAAGCACATTCTAACCTGGCTGGGAGTTGTATACCCGTGGGACCCAGGAGTCACAGTCACCCTGGGACCTGGGAGTCAACTTTATTGAAAAAAGCAAAAGGAAAGTAAGCAAACCTATACATTTGGCTTATGAAGCACAGACAGGCTCTCAGTTAATCTGAAGAGCAAGTTGGGTGGGGGTCTGAGGCGTTATACACCCTCCCGTCTATAGGCTTCAAAATTCCTCTGCTGACTGTTTTGATAGAGATTAATTCTCAAGGTCCCTTTTTTTACTTTGTTGTGGCCTTCCCAGAATTCATGAAAAGCACCTGGCAACGTAATCTTGCCAAGCCTTGAGATTGCTGGCTTCTCTGCTTAGGGAGTAAAACTGCCCTTTTTCCCTTCCCCCTTCCCCCCTCCCTTTCTGCATTCTCTCATTAAGGAGGTTTTTTGTGTGTTTTTTTTATTTGTTTTTTTAAATATATATTTTATTGATTTTTTTTCACAGAGAGGAAAGGAGAGGGATAGAGAGTTAGAAACATTGATGAGAGAGAAACATCAATCAGCTGCCTCCTGCACACTCCCCCCTGGGGTTGTGCCCGAAACCAAGGTACATGCCCTTGACCGGACGCTCTATCCACTGAGCCAAACCGGCCAGGGCAAGGAGGTTTTTTAAATCATTTGCTCCGTGTCCTTGGCTGGGGAAGATAATGGTTTGTTAGTTACAAGCTGGCTGCAAACTGCCCACAGTTTGGCCTTGTTTTAACTTTCCTGTCTCAGTTTCCCTACCCCTCTGCCCTAGAATCCTGTAACACCTCCTCACACCAGGCACTTTGCATTTCCAATCCTAGTCTTTGCACAGCTGTGCCCTCAGCTCTAATGCCCCTTTCTGCCATTCTCTGCCCAGCAAACCACTACTGACCCCTTAAGGCCCAGCCCCAATGTCCTCTTAGCTTTCCCTAGTGCCGCTCCCTGTTCTGGTGGTCCCCTCCTCTCCTTTCCCCATGGTGCTGCCCCTTCTGGGTTCCCCAGTAATCACTGGCTTCAATCTTCACCACTACACTGAGCTCCCTGGAGGTGTTAGACTCTAACAGTTAGAGTCACTTTCCCTCCTATTACCCGTAACAAAGCCTGGCCTGGGCTATCTTACCCCCTCACACCTCCATCTCTGCTCCCCCAGCCCAGACTGCGGACTGCATCGCTACAGCTCTCCCTGAGAGCGCCAAAGGGACTGCCAACAGAACTGAGCAAAGTCTAGGGACTGCCAACCGAACTGAGCAAAGTCTAGGATGAGAAAAGGGTGCTGGGGAGCGCCAGGGCGCTGAGGGCAATGGGGAGAGGAGCATGGCAAAGCGCCTGGGGCCTGGTTATGGGCACCTGGCATGACTGCAGGCGTGGACGGCACAGCTCTGGAGGCCAGTGCCTCGGAGAGCTACCCCAAGAAAGCACAAGGGTAGAAAGCTAAGGGCTAGACCAGATTTGGGGGTTCCCGAGTTGCAACCCCTAAAGGAGAAGGGAAGGGGAAGGTGATCAGGACAAAGCACTGCCCAGCTGCCGGGGCTATACGTGCACCGGGCCCGAGGAGCTGGGATTCAATTCACAGACTTGCAAGGCGGCCAGGGGAGGGGACGAAGCTGTCTGTCCCGACCGCGGTCGTTGCATAGTGGCCCTGGTCTGGTCAGCGTCCTGCACGGGGCAGGGGGCAGTCAGGGGGGCCGGGCGCGGGCACTAGCGTTACCTTTGCAGTCGCCGCCGCCCAGCCCGAGCCCCAGGTCGCCCAGGATGCTCTCGGACTGGCCGTCGCTGTACATGTAGGCAGTGTCCAGCTCCGTGTGGCCGCGCTCCAGGAAGGCGCGCACAGCCGCGGCGCTGGAGGGCGCGACGATGGTTCTCCTCA